ATAGGGGCTTCTGGTATGAAGGTGAAAATTTAGGGTTGTATGTGTTTTTTATATCAATATCTAGCTTATTAGTAAAAAAAATCTACGACTATAGATAACATTATAAAATTTATAGCCTACTCTTGATGAAATAATGTTGCTTATAATTTTTATAATCTCGCATGTATTTTAATTGTTTTTTACTCATTATAATATCTAAATTACATTTTTCTTACTTATAATTTAATATACATTAATACGTGATATTTTAATTGAAATAATTTGCCAGAACCTGTTTATATGTGCACTATTCAATCTCCGATCAACTATAGCTAAATATTCCATATCCAATGCCAAACAAATGAATTTTTGACACAATGAAACTTCTGAATAATTTTTTGAATAAGTACATTTTTTGTGTTGTGAAATAATTTGTTAGAGTAAGGCAAAATAAGTGAAAAAATTGATATGTTAAGCTGACAATAATATTATCACATTACATTTTTCTCACTCGCGATCATGATTATATTATATTCTAATATTGTCTAGGCTCATAAGTGAATTGAAATTTCTGAGTTGATTTCTAGTTTCCGTACTCGTACAGAAGAATTTTATATATAAGATAGATATGCAACTTTTTGAGAAAAAATTAATAAATTTTGATTATGAGAGTAGTTTCAAATTCAAATTTAGGTCATAAATTTTGAATACGGTTTAATTTTTTCGAGTTAAGTTTTTTTGAAGTTGATTTCTTCCACTGTTGCAAACCCTGTGCGAGTTAAAATAAAATATTATGTTATGCTAGTTGTATAAATTTATAAAATTTTATCTATTCAATTTTGACTACTAGAATATTTTTCAATTAGTTCTGGATCGCAAAGAATTGAGTTATCGATGCAGCTTGTGAATATTCAATTACAGCATTTGTTTAATTCTTTTACCTTACGTTCATTCACTAGAGTGTAGAATAAAACCTAATATTATTGTAGCTGTACGAATGCTTTGTTTTATAAATTTATTTATCTACCAATTCAGTTAGTAAAAGTACATATCATGAAGCGAATTTCTGGTTATGCGATCTCTCCGGTGAAAAGCCGCAGTTCTGTTGTAATCATACTCTGCGGTTGAATTTGCAAACTGAATTATGCATTTCATTTATTATTCGAATTTTCCATCTATAATGAAACGTGATGTATAATAAAAATTCAGTTTTATTCTGATAAATGAACAAATATTTTATACTAATGTAATTATTAATGAGGATACTTTAATAAATATGTGGCAAACGCTAAAAACGCTTCAGTTTCAACCGTTAATTTAATGACGAGTTGCGTAATGGACTTTAGTGGACATTTTATGTGGATTTATCTATTTCTATCTATATCCAAGTGAAAGCCGATGTCACTACTGCTTGACATCAGGTTCCTCAAAGCAAACCCAGGACCTTCGATACAGGTCCAGTCGCTCTTGTCACTTACCTACGAGTGAAGCCTGTTGTTAAATATAATTGCTTTTTTATCACACTCCAAATTACAAAATCAACAATCTAATTAATTTCTCAAAAGAAATAAGCATATCAATTCATCTCATGAATTATTTATTACGCTGTATTGAATCGATAAAAAAAATTAAACCAATGCGATACAGTTTATCGATTAAGGATTACGTTGCTTTCAATAGAATAATTGAATCTTATCTTGTATTGGGTTAAATCTAGCAAATCATTCTGATCAAAGCGTTATCGATATTGAATTGGATTCTCATGTCTACCATTAAATATGAGGCAGGGATAAAATATACTACGAATACGTAATATGGAATTTTATCAATATTGCCTAATATCGTAATACAGCACTTTCTCATCAATGGTGGACAGATGAAAAAATATGGAGATCCAACAATACACCCATTTTTTATGGGTACAATTGTAGATTATTCATGTGTTCTGTGAGCATTGTTTTATTCTGATTCTTATTTTTTTTGAATTATTACAATGTTGAGAAATTTTTCTGTGTTTAATTTTTCGCAATTTAGACAATTTAATTATATTTATTTGTTTTTAAATATATAACTTAATTAGAAAAATGTTTACATACTAGAGAAAAGTGTTTTTGTTTTAGTTAGATTCTGAAGTAATAACTTTTTGAGAAAAACGGTGGGCTTTTAAAGGTGTATGCTAGTATAGAAATACAAAAAAAATAGTTTAATATTTTGTTCATATTTTCATAGCTTATCTATTAAAGAATATGCGCACGAGAAGATTTTCAAAAACTTCAATTATTTTCAGTTTGATCATGATAATCTTCTTCTGTTTCCTTGCATTTGCAAAATTTTAAATGCCGTTTTCGTAAAACCGTCATTTTAATACGATGCCTACGATTTCTAGAGTTCTACTAGACCGATTTACTTGGAAATTTTGGAAAAGCTTTTTTATAGACTTCTCTCTGGCATATACTAGCCTCATCTCCAATTTTTTACTATTTTTAGAAAATTAAAGAAACTTAAAGTTTTAAGATATTGATCTTTTTTTTCAAATAGTCACCATTTTGCCAAAAATTTATTTTTTAACTTAATTCTAGTATATCAAACAGATTATAGAACATATAGGAGTTCTGATTGCTGTTAAAAAAAACAATAAAAAAAATCTTGTATATACCATAGTGACATTTTTTTTTCATTTCGGATCACTTATGAGAGTTGCAATCACGTGCCAACTTTTTGAGACCCCTCACTTTAACCACTTCTAATTTTTAAAATCATCAACTTTTTTGTTTTAATTTTCTTATGTACTCTTGTAACACTGATAAACAATTATAAAAAAGATGATAGTATGAAATTGCATTCCTTTTTCCACGATGATTTCAAATATCGATAGGAAAAATCAAATCGAGAAAAATAAATATCGATTTTAAATTGATTGAATGAATAAGTCAATGGAAGAGCCTATCAATAATTCTATGAATTACTCAGTAGTTAAATCCGAAAATGAACAAATGAATTTAATTACAAGAACCAATTAATGAATGAATAAATAATATGATAAGTGAATAATAATTGAACAAATAATTAATATTCGAATTATTAAATAAGAATGTAATTGACATATCAAATAAAAAATGTATGAACATATTACCACAAATTTGAAATAAAACTATGTGAAAGATTGACTGAAATTTTAATTGTTAAATTGAACAAAAAAATAAATTGTATAAACAATCAAAATACTAATTAAATGAATGAATACAATGCTTGTTGAATGAATAGTTTAAATTCTTGTTGAAAGAATGAAATTAATTCTAATTATTAGAAACTTACTTAAATACTAAAAAAATCGAAAATTACTTACTAAAAATATAAAGAAATCGAAAATGAAAAGTTTTGCTTATCTTCATAATTCAAGTGCTCAATTTCGGCTTACCTTAGAAAAAAAAGGATATCTGTGTGTGTGTATTTTTATGTGTGCATGTTCGCATACGATTTTTTGCTCACGAGTGAAAGCACGGATCAACCGATTTTAATGATTCAAAAAAATTCTTTTGTATTCCTACCTTCGATATTTTGTTTCTGAAACAGCTACGCTTGAAGAAAGCTAGCGCGATTGCTTTGAGGAAAAGTGCAGAGTATTCAAAAAAATTCAAAACACGAAAAATTTAATTTAATATATCGATAAGCCAATTTTTTTCAAAATATTCAAGATTCTCAAAAATCTATCTATCTATCTTAAACAATTTTATAGTTTTAACTTCCCGTTAGTTATTGTAATCGTTCAAAAATCGAAATTGAAATTTTTTATTGTTCTCAACGTTTTGAAGGTTTCTGAACATTTTGGCATATCTCAGAAAAAATGGATGTGTGTGTGTATGTATGTATGGACACAATTTTTCGGTCACGTTTTCGGGCGCACGGATCAACCGATTTCAATGGTTCAAAAAACATTCGATTTCTATTGATAGGGAGACGTGCTGATTAGTTTTTGGCAAAGGCAAGTTTAGCTGTTACGAAGATACGGAGCAAAGAGTGCAGAAATATCGAGTTTTTGAGAGAACGGAGTATCCGATTGGCAGAATAGGTGATTAGTTTCTAACAAAGGTCCAGCCATTTCGAAGATACTGAGTAAATTGTACAAAAATGGCAGTTTTTGAGAGAACTAAGCTTCTGATTGAATTATTCAAAGAACTTTTTGCTTGTTTCAGCAAAATCGTTGCTTTTGGAAAAAAAAATTTTGTTTCTAATTTTTTTTTCAAGAATTTTTTTTATATGTTCTAATATAGTTTGAACAAATAATTTCAACTTTGCAATTTAGTTTATATAATTCTTATAAATATTAGACAATGTTACAATATTTATACAAAAATTATTTGGAAACATTTAATATTCCTCGATCATTTCGTTTACGGTACGGGAAATTGCAGCAATTTGCCTTAAGGCACGACGATACCATGCACCACTAGTTTTTTAAATTAATTTGCCATACGAAAAGTTCCAGCAATTTGCCTTAACCACCAGTTAAATATATAAAATACACATTGTATCAATGTATGAATGATAATATAAATTAGCGATTGCAATTTTTTTTATCTCTGACAGGATGACATTATTGTATTAATTAGCAGCATGCAAAAAAGAGCATCATTGCAACATGTTTGAGATAATTTCTGTATACGAATTTGTAAAAAAAATCGTAATGCCGGTTTTGTTTTGACATTATAATATATGCACGATAGTCCCACTACGTTATCTCGTTCAGCAATGTCATTCGGTGCTCATCAATGCCGTAAGTCTGTGATAAGAAATTACGTTTACTGATATCGTCTGTACCTGTCCAACACGGATGCCAATAACTACAGAACAACCAGTTTGCACTGCGACGCTCTGCAGGTAACACACATGGCCGGAGCTCCTCGAAATAAAAGTAATAAAAGACAAATAATTAAAAATTATTAATTAATATATATATATATATATATATATATATATTATAATTAATTAATTCTAGTTTTTTTATCTCAGTTTGTAATTTCATTCACCTGTCCCGTGTAGCAAAAGTGGCCCAAGTGATTTGTGTATCGAGTGAAAGTGTAATTGTGTGTCAAGTGCACGTGTTTGTTTTGTATGTTATCAGAATTAGTGCATTATTAGTGTTTTGTGTACAATTGGATTTATGAAATTTGAGACAAGCCGCCGAGAATTTTGTAAGTTTTTTTAATTAGAAATATTACGAGTATTAACATTAAACCTATAGATAATTCTTGTATAGATGTTCCTACCACGTGCTGTTAAGATGAGCGGGTAGTTTGGGCAAAAAACAAGTTTTTAGAATAAAAATATATAGAAATAAATATTGTATAAATGTGCATATTCTAAGTTTCATATAGTTCATTTATAGTTTGATAATAGCATTATAACATATTTTATTACAAAAAGTACTGTCAATAAAGACCGGTACTTGGTAGGTTTAGTGTTCAAAATATCCAGATACACATACACTTTTGAATGGTCTTTCATGTACAAATTAGCCTCTTACAAAGTTTTTAACTTCCAGTAGGGTAAGTTATTGTAATCGTCCAAAAATCGAAATTGAAAATTTTTACATTTTCTGAACATTTTGGCATACCTCAGAAAAATTGATGTGTGTTTGTGTGTGTATGTATGTATGGATACAATTTTTCGTCCACGTTTGCGGGCGCACAGATCAACCGATTTGAATGGTTCAGAAAATATTCGATTACTATGGATAGGGAGATGTGCTGATTAGTTTTTGGCAAAGGCAGGTTCAGCCGTTTCGGAGATACGGAGCAAAGAGTGCAGAAAATAGAAATCGAGTTTTTGAGAGATCGGAGCATCGGTTTTGAATGATCCAAAAACATTTAATTCGTAATGATGGGGAGAAGTGGTTATTAGTTTTTGGCAAAGGCAGGTCCAGCGGTTTCGGAAATAGAGAACTAAATGTGCAAAAAATGGCAGTTTTTGAGAGAACTGAGCGTCCAATTTTAATGATTTAAAGAACTTTCTGCTTGTCTTAACAAAATAATTGATTTTGAGAAAAAAAAATTGTCTCAACTTTTTTTTCAATTTTTTTTTTCAAGAAAAAAATTTTTTGTATATCGAAAATAATTCAGGTTTTATTTTTAATTCTGACTATAGTTCTAATATACTTTAAACAAATAATTTTAACTCTGCAATTCAGTTTATATAATTTTTATAAATATTAGACAATGTTACAATATTTATAATAATCTATTTGAAAACATTCTGTATTCCTCGAACATTTCGTTACGGTACGGGAAGTTCCAGCAATTTGTCTTAAGGCACGATGCCATGCATCCCACTAGTTAGGAATTAATATTAACTTGGATCAAGGGTCTATTTTCTTTAGTAGTTTTCTGTTGTCTAGGAAATTTGCAGGAGAAATTTGTCTATGCATTTATATGCAGTTTTTAACAGTCGTGTGGAACGTATTTTTAGAGCACTTACTCTTCAGTGAAATTTGTATCTATTCATTTATACATTTTTCAATAAAATACCTTGGCTGCGTAGATTTATTATATACTTTGTTAGGAATTTAGAGCATTCGATTAACTATTATTATGAAACGTTAATTAATATCAGTTCTTGTTTCATACTGGAGTTTTTGTCATTTTTCAGTTTAAATGCTAGGACATTCTTAATTATCATTAACTTGAATCTATTAATCCTTCATTTATCAAATTAAATAGTTAATTACATTATTAAAACTTGAAAGATATACCTGAATATACTTTAGATACTTGTATTCACGTTGATGGTTGATTGAATATATCTTATATTGATATAGAATAATTTGATTTTTTATTGGATAATAATTTTTGATATTGGCTAATTATTTTTTTTATTATACCAAAATCATGTTAGATGTACAAATTACCAGGATGTCCAATCACTAGATTGGCATTTGATTTAGACATTGCAAATATGTACTACCAAAAATTTGCTGATGATACGCTCCATACGAAATAGGTTCAAATATTAAAAAAAAGATGTACAAGAATATGATGTTTTGTTGGATAATATTTTGTTGTTATTGCAAAGGATCATTATATTCATTAACTGAATATGTATGATTTTATCGACATTGGCTTCGACATAAATAGAATGTGTAACCACTAGTTTTTATGCAAATAGAAATATCGATTTAAATTTTAAAATGCATTTCAAATGCATTGAGATGCAATGATCGCATCCTTAGTTGTCTCATTGAACCGGTGTCGTCCTCAAACCTGATCGCAAAATACTCGGAATGTCGTTGGCGTTTGTCGTCGAGCAAGTTTTGTTTTTGTTTTGATTATTATTATTGAATGAACTGCATTCACCGGAACATTGAAGACATTTCTTGAACTAATGAAGTTTATATTAAATACTCGGAATATTCTTTTAGCTATAATTTAATTATATTGTTAATTTTTTGAATATTTTCTGCAATACCTGCTGCATACTGAAAGAAGTTATGTTATTTAGTAATTGTTTGAATTATGTGTAGTAAAATGTTACTCACCCAATCCTTATATAACTAACAATGAAATACATATGAAGTTATTTTACCATGCTTATGGTTTCTAAATTCAATCCCACTACTGTATACTAATTATGCTTTTGAATTAGTACGTATCATTAATTGATTTTATTCATTTCAATCCCAATTTCATAGTTTATATCGTAGAATTTGGCTGCGTTTTATAGTTAAAATTATAGAATTTTTTTTAACTTTTCCTGGAGTCTTCAGTTTTTTATATGGTATACTGGTTAATTAATAAACTTCTCATATCAATCTGGTTACCAAAACTATTTGTTTCAAATATAACTGTATATTTCAGTTCAAATTACTCTAACAGTATATAAAATTTCATTTTATATTTTTTTCTTTTTTTTAATTTGAAAATATGCTACATCTTTATATGAAAATCAATGTATGTATTTAAGTCAAATAAAGCAAACTTTTCAAATTAAAAAAAAAAATTAAATATAATAAAATGCATATTAAGCAATATTCAGTTGGCTCCAAGTAACAGGTTTGCGATTTTTTTAAAGTCCCCAGTTGGGAATTTTCTGGAATCACTGCTACATACTAATTTTATTTATGAACTAGTACATGTCGCTAAATAATTTTATTCTTTCCAGTTTAATTTTATGATGTTTGTTAGTTAGTTAGTTAGAATGCCCTTCCATTTTTATTTTTCTGTATATTTTATTTAAGACATCAGTTTTTTCATCTACCATCCTGGGTAATTAATCAGTTTGATGTATTTCAGAGTGCCCTTACAATTAATTAAATTAAATATTGCAATTTAGATTACATGAATAAAGTATAATATTTATTAAATATAAATATGAAATGAAGCAATTACGCAATGTTGAGTTTGCTGCAAAACTATGCGGTTTCAAAAACCACAAACTACGCGGTTTTTCTATGTTTTTTCTTATATAACACATAATTTCATATTTATCAATTTAAATAAAATAGTTTATCATGAAAAATTGATGATGATTCATAATGCCAAGTTTAGAATAATTATCATATTATTTTTGAAACGCTAATAATCATGTTAACTGATTTAAGCATTCAAATGAATAAACCACAATCCTCTAACTATGCTATTTTTTCAATGATCTCTTTAAGCTTTAAGTTTTTACTAAAATATAAAAACACAGATTAATAATTCATATCATTTTCAATATTGTTAAAAAATGACCAAGATAAATTCATGAAATTGTTCGGATTTTCTTTATTTTATATATCTGCGCCTATTACATCATCAGCTAACTTTTGGTAGTATTCAGAATGTCTTAATCGAATGCCAATTCAGTGTTTGGACATCAGAGTATGAACTCATTTGAAAATTCCTACAAACAGTATTGTAAATTGTAGAAATTTGGGGTTTCATAATTAATTTGTTAGGGGAGTCGTTAACTTAGTTTTTGGAACATCTCCTAGTAGTTGACTATTGTCTTTCTGATGAGATTATATTGGATATAATTTAATGACTATATATAGAAGCAATGACTTCAAAAACTGCTTTTACTTGATATTATATTTGAATACAATAACCTCAAATGAATATCTGATATCACTACTGAGTGATATCAAGTTGACCAAGGTGGTCATTGAACCTAGAACCAGTGGTAATCTAGCAAATTTAATCTACATTGCCATCACTGTGTTTTAAAAAATAATTTAAGTTAAGAATGACTTAAATTTTTTATTGCATTGTTTCTTTTTCTTGGATATTTTATTTTATTTTATATGCAATTTTGCTTGCCTAAATCCATTCCAGTATTTTATTCATTATTTATGAGATTACGTAAACATGAGACGTCTGTTCTTGATAATTATTATGCCTTATCAAATATGTTATTAAATACTAATTCAATATGAAAAATGTCAATAAGTATTTTTCAAGGACGAACAGTTTACATTACATATGAAACATATGCAAGCTGATTATTTATTCTCTGAATGTATGAAATTAACGTAATAATACAAGTTCTAATTAATTATAAATATTCATAACAAGATAATTATAGGATGCTTATAACATAAATTTGAAAGACTTATTTTTTATTTGAGATTGAACGCACATGGAGGAAGTAAATTAAGTTGAAGTAAATAAAGAAGTAGCTACTTTGATATTGATAATGATACTTATAAACTTAAAAAAATGTTATATATATACATATATTGCGAGTCTGTTTAGGAAGTACTTTGTTCAATCAACATATATATTTATATCCCAAGATAAAATAACAATGACTGCAAAAAAATGATTGATAAGCTAAGTGATACAATACAATTGTTTGTCCATAGTTTCTTTTGCCTTACTTTAGAATTGATAGTTCAAAATTGGCACAATATTGCATTGTTTTATGGTTCAATCACCGCGAAAGTACGTTTTCAATCAGAAAGTTATGATTATTTATACTTTCACATAATCTGGAGCACGAGAAAATACGTCAATCACTGATAACTTTAAAATGAAACAATAAAAAGATTCGATAGTTATTGTATTTAAATTAACTTCATAGTAATAGATATAATCACATTTAATATCGATACATTTTTTAATATTATGAATAAAGTTTGTATTTTATCCGATAAATTTACAATTTATTTTCCTGCAGTTTTCATTTCAAACTTTTGCTTAAATTTGGCTTGAATTTC